ATATAAACCATTAATAATGTATGCTATTAAAAATAGTACATTGCTGATTGAGTATTTTGTTATGAAATGTACCAAACCGGACACATTACATCAAAGTGTGTAAAAATATGAAGGCTATTGAAATTTCAAAGAGGTCTTGTTGTAAGGATTTTAAATTTTACTAACATTTATTTTAAAACTACTGTCCCCTCTTGTTTTCCACTTCAGGCCAGAATAAACACTGTTAATTTTAGTATGAAAATATGCAAATTGAGCTTACAAATTGTCAAGTATTTAAGTTATGTCTTTTAGTCAAGAAAGTTGGAGAGAGAGACTTTTCGCCACCTTATTTCACGCACGCTTTTCATTCAGTTGCTGTCTGCCTTTAAGGCCAAAATTTAGTCAAGACATCTTGTAGTTATCCTGCATACTACATATGTAAAGATTAAAAGGCCAACTAGTTACTAGTCTTTGTAAAGTATTTGAGTTTAGCTCTTATTTAAATTTAGTTAGGTTAGTTTGTAGTTCTTATTTTTACATTTCAGACTTAATCTTAATGTTGCATATTGGGGCATCTGTCATATGAACTATAGCAGTCTTAAAGGAAATAAAATACATCATCAGATTTATTTGCTTTTTGCATATGATTGCCCACAGCCTTCCTTTTTCACGTAGTAACCATCTCTCTTGGTAGATTGTTTTACTTTCTTTGGAATATTAAAAAAGTTTTGTAATTGAAAAAATTCCAGTAACAGTCTGATTTCAACGAAATATCTGTTTTGACCTTTTTTGCTTTAAGTCTGTATATACACAGAGAATGACTGTTTTTTCCAAAAACAGTTGTGTAAAATAGGGTCAGTTTTTTTATTATTATTATTGTGTGTGTGTGAGATGTATATCCGTTTAAACTCAAAAATGACTAGTCATACAATGTTGAAATTTTATACACGGGACTGCTGTAACATCTAGTTGTGCATCTCCCTTTGTTATTGCAGTCAATAGTAAAGTTCATATATGGATATGTGTGGAATAATTTAGGAATGACAAATTCTCAAACTTAAATACAAGAGTAACATGCACAGTTTTTGATTTATGAGAACTGGATTCTGCTTATGAAATATGAAGTGAAATATTTAATCTTGATGTAACTATAAAAACCTTCTCATGAACTTTGTGAAACTGTATAAATTTCTCAATCCTAAAATTGATCTGATTCAGAAATGTATATGCATGGTGCCAAAAAAAGGAACACAATTATCTCCCGGGGCCGATTGATGAAATTCAGATTGCGTTTTTTATGTCTCAAAAGTGCGACTTAGGCTATATATTAGATTTATAGATAGCATTATTCTAACAGGTATTTTGACATGAAATTGTACTTTTTCTAAAATGACAATTTTCTTTAAAATTGCACGAGTAATTTTTGAATTTGATTAATTGAATTAATAATTGTTACTGTGTTAATTGAATTTGATACATATATATTAATATCTTTTTTTTAAATTAAACTTGCTTGATTCATTCCAGAATTTGAAATTTAGGCTTAAACCAAATGTAATGTGCACATTTTTTAATGATTTATTTTTAAAATTTGTATTTTATAATTTATAATCATCTTAAAGTAGATGTATTTCTGGGTGCACCTGCAAAAAAGTAATTTTTATTAAAAATTTTCTAAGGGTATGCATGAATTTGCATATTGGCACGTTTTGAGATTAGGCTTTTTTTTTTTTTTTTTTTAAGGGATAATAACGCCAAATGTGGTTTATGCACTTTGTTAAAATTATTTGAAAATGAACAATGAATCTTTTTCTTCTCCTGGACAATGAAAAAAAGGAAAGGAAAGTAGGTTGCTATAAATTTAGAAGTTCGCCAAGTCGATTATTCTTAGTGAAAATTGAAAAAAATAGACCAAGATAAATTTTTGAATTTTTCCATAAATTTTGCAAAATTTACAAAATCTAATATTTGAGGTGCAGAATCGAAATATGGAAGAAAACTGGCATGTCATTTCAGAAAAGTTTGATTTTGTGTCAGTGTCAAAATACCTATGTTAGAATAATGCTATATATAAATTTAATGTATATCCTAAGTCGCGCTTTCGAGATGTGAAAAGTGCAATTTGAATTTCAAGAACAGGAGATATAGAATAGTTCTGCCTCTCTCTCTTTTTTTTGGGGGGGGGCATAGTCTACATATGTATACAGTACAAAGTCCGTTCGTCGGGACTTCGCATATACCAGATTAGGATTTTTTCTGGATTATAGATTATCAACTTAAATCTGATAAGATGGCATGCAGAAATCATACAATTAAAAAATCGTAATTTATGAAATAAATAATTATGATCTAAAGGGTATCAAAATTTACCAAAAAAGCTTAATATTTATTTGTTTACTTTATTAAACATTTCTTTCAATGCAAGTTGTTTAAGATGCTTCCACAAAAAATTCAAAAAGTTCCTTTTTATTGTGTCATATTAGTGGACTTTCCAATGCCATACTTCTTGCATAATTTTGAGACGGATAGGCATTTATCCATTTTTTGCAGCAATTTCACTTTTTGTTTAATGGACATCGAAACGTGCTTTCGCTTTGTATATCCTTTGGCAGAATTGGAAACTCTTTTTGACATATTAGAAAGTCCAAGCTTAATTTTTATAAAATTGTTCTAACAATCTGCAAAAAATAATAAGCCGGATCCAATTAGAAGATTAACCCTTTGACGGTTATGGAAATGAGCAGTTTCTGTTGACTTAATTCGTGCAGCATTAGGAGTAAACAGTAGTCGAAAGTGGCAGCTGTTTCCCCCCCGTTCTTCCGAAAATGTCACCTTTCTCTGGCAATGCCGTAGATAGCTCGCCTCGCGCGTTTTAAAAATTTCTTAAAGTATTTGTAGTACATAAATAACAGTTTTTACGTACTTTAAAATAATTATTAAAGAGTAAATTATAAATGATTATAACCAATTATATAAATAATAGTTAATTATAAATATAAGGACAAATATTTAAATTGAAAGGACAAATAAATACAACTAATGTAAAACTTTATGAAGTCAGTATAAATACAGTATTACCTAAAAATCCTTTTGTGTGTGAATACAGTCAAAAGTCGTTAATCCGGATCGTCGGGACTTCTCGATTCCGGATTATCGATTTTCCTGATTATAGATCATCATTTAAATCTCGTAAGATGGCATGCAGAAAATTCTAAAATTAAAAATGTGAAACCGTAATTTATGAAATAAAGAACAATTATGATCTAAAGGGTATCAAAAATTTACAAAAAAAATAAAGTTTAATATTTATTTGTTTACTTTATAAACATTTCTCTCAATGTAAGTGTTTTAAGTTGCTTCATTTATGTGATAATACTTTCTCTTTAATTCTATAAACAGACATCATTTCTTGTTCAGTAACAAAGTTCCGCTGTTCAAGTCCCGTTAATTGCTGTGCCGAGAATACCGACTAACTTGTCAATCGAAATTTTTTCGTTTTCACTTAACTTCTCTGTCACATTCTTCATGTATTTATCCATTTTTTGCAGCAATTCCACTATTTATTTGTTGGAGATCAAAACATACTTTCGTTTTGTAGATCCTTTGGAAGTTCCAGCATCGGAAATTCTATTTGACATAATCGAAAGTTCAAGTTTACTTTTATAAAATTGCTCTTACAGTCTACAAAAAATAATAAGCGGGATCCAATTCAAAGATTAAGGAACAACGCAATCATTAACATTAACTGAAACAGATAATTTTTGCTTACACCGTCCGTTATACATTAAACGCGCAAGCGAAAACGTATTCTGCACTTGCACACACGCATATGCGCAGTAGTCAAGGTCAAGTTTTTAGCTTTGAGGTCCGGATTATGGGTGTCCGAATTAACGACTTTTGACTGTACTTTAAAACATGGAATTGCACATAATGGGGCATTACAGTCTTTGCAATACGTACACGGCGAATTCTTTTTCCATTAGCATCATTTTTGCTGCAACATACCACGCATCGTCTAGTAGGTTCTTTCCAATAGAGAATTTCAGAAATATTTGTCACGCAAGCTTTCATGCCTACATCACCAGTAAAACTAAATCGGCTAGGAGTGTGAGAACTTGAATCAATTATACACCACTGTCGAACACTCGAAAAATCTTCCTCATCGCTTGAATCGTCTTCTGAGCTTGAAATACTGTGAACAAAGTCTATCAGATTTAAAAACTTGATAAGCTTTCTTTCTGTATCATATCATCATCATACCTATCCAACTTTTGCTTTGAGCCATTTTACTGTACAACACCCTAAAACCGTGCCAAAATACGTTATAAAATTAACAAGGTCAAAAAAAAAAATCCACCTCATTATGCAAAGAATTCATGGAACTCGTACTGCCATCTGTAGACAGTAAAACTAACTAAATTTCGCGAGTAGTGAAACACAATCAGTGCAGAATAATAATGGCGACCGAAGTCAGCTTGTCAGCGCGCATTGAGGAAAAATTTCACTATGCGCGAGTAGAGCTCGTTACTAACCATTTCGGTCAAAAATCTTGCTCCCGAGCGGAACTCGTTTGCGCGCATTATGAAGCACGATTCAATTGCGAGCTGAACTCGTTCATAACCATCAAAGGGTTAAGGAACAGCGTAATCTGCAACATTAACTGAAATGCCTTGGATAATTTTAGCCTAGTTTATACCGTCCGTTATACATTAAACGCGTATATGCATGTGCATAAAGTTTGTATGTTTGAGGTCCGGATTATGGACATCCTGATTACAGACTTTGAACTGTATATGTTTGGGTGTGTGTACGCACACATTCATATATATTCACCTTCATACATATCTGCATTTCTGAATAAGGTTCCAATAACAGAAGAGTACCTTCCATATATATCGTAAAATGCAATTTTAGGAATGTATTTAAATGTAAAATTACACGTAATGAAATATTTAAATATAAATTCATTTGAATTATGCTGAAATATTATGTTCTGTGAGAAATTTACATGTGTAACCTTTTTAAATATTTTGTTAATTTTTTTTTCAGCTGCAGTGTACCAAGCGAATGCTTCCCTATTAGAACAATTAGTGCATCAATCATGGTAAACATTTGACAATTCATATTTTATTAAGATGATAAAATGATTTATAAACCTACTATGTAGTTCGTATGTAAACCACCTTTTTAAGTTAATATATCAGTTGCTTCTTTTTTTTTTAAATTTAGATGATTTATTAGATGTAGATTTATTATAATTTACTTTACCTCATTTACACCAGTATTAAAGTGCATGGCTTAATTATTTTAATTTTCTAAACATATAGTAAAATAAATCTTTGCATTTTATTAGAGATCATGAAATCCAGATTCATCATACATTCTGTAATATAAGGATTTTGAAATTGTTTTCAGTCCAAACCATCACATAAATTTTTGACTAGTTTAAATTTCGCGTTAAGTACAATTTTTAAGAAATGACTTTAGATGATGCCACTGTGTTTTTAATTTACCTGGAAGCAGCAATTTTTAATTTAAAAGTTCAGTACTTCAAATTTTAATGTTAGCAGAAATAAGGCTTAGTATAATGCAGTTTCAAAAATTTTTTTTATAAGAATTGGAGAAAAATCTATAAATTCTGATGGAAAGCATTTGCATGTAACAATAGAGCAGCTGTACAACATAATAATAAAATAATGGATTTTCGATTGCCGCATCTGGTGATGTTTTATTGATTGATAATCTATAATGCTTGAAAGTTAGAGCATGTTTTATGAAGTACAGTATTAATTTTTTCTTTTAATATCTTCAATAAATTCTAGGAATTTATATTGAGTTTATATATGTATTTTCTACTCTTAAAAGAAAAAAATAGTATTTTAATCCTTTAGACTTATTTTTCAAGCTTGTAAAAATTAAGAAGTCGCTTTTGTTATTTAATGTCATTAATAAATGCAGTGAATCTTTTTTTTTTTAGTACATTAGTTAAAGCGCAAACTTCAGAATTACGTGCAAGGTCTCATGGAAAGTTCTGCCCGATAATGTTATTTCAAGTTTCGGCATGCACGCAGATGTTCGACTGAGACATATGGCTGTCTCTTTATCACTGCATGTATATAAACATCTGCTTTTCTGAATTAATTGAAACAAGTATATTATGCCAGTATTAAGTAAGAAGTTAATTTTGTATGAATTTGAACAAGGATAAAATGCTGCAGAAGCATTTCAAAACTTGTGACCATTTTGCTGAACATACATTTTCAAGTAGAACATGCAGGAAACTGAAAAATTTGAGACTGGTGATTTTGACCGTAATGATAAACTATGCTCTCTGCACCCGTGAGATTGTCAGGATCACGATAGAGCAAGATTCTTAACATTGGATACTCCGGAAAAGCGAATTCAGCTCAACAAACCATTTCAGACCATACAGAACTTTCTAGTTTCTAAATAAATATTCCTGATGGGCACCGTATTAGGTAGAGGGGAAAAAGTGCATGATAGACTTGTTCTGTGCCCATCTCTGCTTGCTCGAAACAGAAATGGAATCCTTTTTGGACCTTTTAACAAAAGCATTGCTCTGAGCTCAGACAACCTGCCCTCTGCACCTCTAAACCAAGTTTCAGCATGAATGAAAGAAACACATTCCCGCCCCATAAAGGTGGGATGTCCAAAGGCCAATAAATATGTTACGAACATTTGAAACTTAAAGAAGCTGGAATTTGAAGAAATAATTTCATCAAATGGACAATTTAAACAAAGCTTTTGAAGAAAAAGACCAGCGATGCTGAATTGAAAGCCGTATTCTGCTTTGATGACCTGTCAGATAATTATAGAGCTAGGCTGGGAAATTTTGCCACATACGTATATTCTCCAGACTTCTCTTCGCACAATTTTTTAAATGGAGACTAGGTCTTCATCTTTAAGGACAAGTCATTTTTAAAAAATTGTCTACAAATTGTTGTCATGTTGGAAAGAGGTCATAAAGTAGTGAAAAATTATGTTGTACAATAAATATTATTAACCGCTTGTCTGATTATCCCGAGTTATCTTGGGTTCGTATATATTGCAGTTATTTATTATCCTGAGAAAACTTGGGTGAAGCAGAATTTGTTAGTACGTTTTATCGCGGTGTTACTAGCCCTGGAGGAAATGAAAGGAAATATTCAGCTTTGATTGGCAGTTTGCCAAGTTTTGTTTGTTGCGGGGGTTCTGTTGACAGGACTGGTCATGTGTTTCCCTATTGCATAGTACAGTCAAAAGTCGTTAATCCGGGACTTCGGCGATTCCGGATTATCGATTTTTCCGGATTATAGATCATCAGTTTAAATCTCGTAAGATGGCATGCAGAAATTCTAAAATTAAAAATATGAAACCGTAATTTATGAATAAAGAACAATTATGATCTAAAGGCTATCAAAATTTACAAAAAAAAAAGCTTAATATTTATTTGTTTACTTTATTAAACATTTCTTTCAATGTAAGTTGTTTAAGTTGCTTCGTTTTATGTGATAATACTTTCTCTTTAATTCTATAAACAGACATAATTTCTTGTTCAATTACAAAGTTCCGCTGTTCAAGTCCCGTTAATTGCGGTGCCGAGAATACCAACTAACTTGTCAGTCGAAATTTTTTCGTTTTCACTAACCTCTCTGTCACATTCTTCATGTCTTTATCCATTTTTTGCAGCAATTCCACTTTTTGTTTGTTGGACATCGAAACATACTTTCGTTTTGTAGATCCTTTGGAAATTCCAGCATCGGAAATTCTATTTGACATAATCGAAAGTTCAAGTTTACTTTTATAAAATTGCTCTTACAGTCTGCAAAAAATAATAAGCGGGATCCAATTCGAAGATTAAGGAACAACGCAATCATCAACATTAACTGAAATAGATAATTAGATAATTTTAGCTTATACCGTTCGTTATACATAAAATGTGCAAAACGTATTCTGCACTTGCGCACACGCAAATGCGCAGTAGTCAAGGTCTTACGCGCACGCATAAAACGCCTGTGCGCATGTGCCAACGCGCCGCATGCGCAGAAAGTTTTTAGCTTTGAGGTCTGGATTATGGGTGTCCGAATTAACGACTTTTGACTGTATATGTCGACTTGTGGATTAGTAATGTATAAAGAAGGATACATGCGTTGAAAAAAAGTAAAATAATGGCGATGGTGCAAGATAGTGGAAGTGATGATTTTTTCAGATAGTGATTATGAAGAGTTGGGAAAAATTAAAAAAAAAAAAAAAAAAAAAAAATCAAATCCAACAAGACAGTATAATCTGTGCTCCTGTGAAAGAGATTCCAGCAGTAAGTCAGTAAGAAAAGAGAACAGATACCAATGTACAGAATGTTAGGTATCACTTTGTGTTCTCCCTTGTTTCAAAAACTATCGTACAAAGACTATTATGTTAATTTTTTTGTTTGCCTCAGGATAGTAAACTGATATTAAAACTAAATGCTTTTACACCTTCAAAAAATTAAATTTCAACTTAAAACCTACATATTTTGATTTGTTTTGTTTCGTTGTATTTAATAATAAACTTAAAAAATGGGATGATTTTTCAATTTTTTCAAAAAAATTGAAAAACGAAAAAATTGAAAAGGAAAGTGGTTAAAGATATAAAAAATGTATTATTTCCTTTCACTTCCCAAACGAACAGAATTTTCCAGTAGATCTTGTATGCATTTTCTAAAATTTACTTGAAACAAATTAGCTTCTTCAAAGTAATATTTTTTTGAGTTAATGAATTTTCTAACCAATTATTTTTATTGCTGTTTTTTACCTTTTGTATTCTGCAATGTAAAGAAAAGCTGACTTTGGATATTTGCAGTAGGTGTAGTATTTTGCATAATATGAAGACATAGAATGAGTATTAAAATTGATAAAAATATAATGCAACTTATTTTAGAATTTAAAACATGGTTGGTTGTAACTCACGAAGACAGAACTCTAGATATTTTCAAAATAGTTGATGTGGCTGTTGGAATTCATATTTGAAATATTAAAAGATAAAGTGCAAATAAGAAACTGAGGAAAGTGTGACATTTGACAAAGCAATGTCCAACTTATGAGAGTATTTTCTTAACATCCATAATGAAACACTGAAAATTACATAAAACAGCAACAGATTAATAAATTAAAATTCCAAGAACATCTGTAATAAAACACAATTTTCCCCCCACTCTTCGATGTAGGCACCTGTTTAAACTTTAAAAAAAAAAAAAATGGAGAGTGTCAAAAATTTAAGAAAGGTATCATGGTTTTCAATCATCAAAAATTTAAGAAAGGTATCTGCAGTCAAACTACCTTCTTCTTCTTCCATGTACAACACGACCTGTTTTAACCTGAAAAGGTTAGAGAATTGGACAAAGTAGGAAAAGGCTGTCTTTGCAACTCTCTAAGGCCCATATCACATGGCATTTGTTTTACACGAACAACTGTTTTGAATAATGTTTCTGCCTGGTTTACTATTGAAAGAAAGACTCACAATTTTTTTCCCTTCCTTTCGGAAAAAATTACAAGTTCTTCGTTTTCAACCAGTCAGCTTCGAATGCTGTTAGCTTGTTTGTAATGGAGAACCAGTTTTCCCTATGGTAACCACAAAGCGATCTGTGGTGATTAGCTGTTGTGACAAAGCAGAAAAATTGTTCCAAACAGTTGTTCTTCAGAAACAAACGAACGTGTGATAGTAGCCTAAGAAAGTTGAAAAGCAGCAACCACAAATATGAACATCGAATTTCAAAAGCTAAATTCTTTGGTGATGTAATGCATGCTTAACCATTCATGGTTTATCAGATAAATATATTTTCATATAATTCTGTGTTATTTACTTCGGCGACGTAGCATATTGCCCAGCGATTCTTCACACCTTCCCTGTTGAAATTAACCTGGATGTTTAATCAAAGAATACCAAATAAATTTTAAGTAAATTGAATGTTTTTATTTTGAATTTTTTGAGAGCTATTAGAATGGTTTTAAATAAACATGATTAAGTGCATAATTAACAACAATATAAATGTACATTTTCTTTTTAGAATAGAAGTACAGTACAAAGTTGGTAATCCGGATCTCAAAGCCCCAAATTTGCTCATAAAGC